TATGGTTCATGGGGTCACGAAGAGTCGGACACGACTTAACGACTAAACAACAACAAAAACACATTGGGGCCAATTGTTGCAAGTAGATTTCTGCTTGTATTAAAGGGCTTTCAATTGCAGAATCCTGCACCATCACAAAACATAGTAGGGCAAGGGGATGAGTTGGGTGTGCAATAATTTGGGGAAGTAGAAAACAGAGATCTTTGGGATCTGGACCCCTAGAAATAAGCATTTTACATTGCACTCATTTTACATTGACTGACTACCATATACATGTCATCTAAAGGTGGTATAAAAATACTTCAAACAGACAAACCATATTTTATGGTTAAGTCAATATTATTTTCCTGGGATTATCAACTTCTGTCTTGAAAATTCTTAAAAAAATTAGGCTGAACTATTGTACTGTTTATTTAAACATATTTTTGGTGAAGGACAAAAATCTGATAGGATATTTTAGATTGTATTGGATAGTTCAAAAGCATATTGGATGCCTCCAAATACTAGCAATTGCCAGTATTAATGGGATGTGTAATATAAATAAATGAATAAATCAATGGATTATGGCTTTTAAAGTTACCTTCATAATCTTACTTTAGCATAAGTACAAGATTCCTAATGCAAATTTTACCCATTGTAAATGTATTTTTAAAGGATTTTGTTGAAATCATGGCTATTTATTAATTGAGTAGACTGTGTTCATTTTTACAAACTTCATAAATTCGTTAATCCTTGAAAACTATCTTCTCCCATCCTTTTGTTTCATATGTAAAGATACAAGCAATTCTTGGTTTATACAAGCCCTGCCTTAATATATCTGACTTTATGAAAGAGGGTGCAAGAATGGCAACCATTATGTTAGTGCATGCAGAAATAGTGGCCTTCATGATTACATATGTGCAAAATAATGACTTCTTTATTTGCTCACACATACTGTACAGCACATAATCTGACGTGCAAAATCTGCATGCAAGAATTCCTGTGTAACTTGGAGACTGTGTGTATTCAGACATGATCTCTGAAATATTATACATGCCATGGAGCTCATATGGATTAGGCTTAACATTTCAGCAAAGGATCCTCATAGTTTATACTCTGTTTTGTATGGGTAGTAAAAGTATTGATTGAAAATCTTTGTAGTTGTCATCTTTCATCTGTATCAGAGTAGTTAAGTACCCAGAAGAATACTTCATTTTACCAGGAAACATACTGAAATGGAATGAAATAATTACTTCTAGGAGTGTGACATCACGTAGTAGTTTGTAATTTAAGTAAATATTTTTGTAGATGTTCTTGTAGAGTCATTTTGGTTTAATATGAATATAATTAAAATCTACCAATAATTAATGATTTGGATTCAGACATAGCCATGCCTAGGGCAGAAACAAATGAAAATAAAATAGTCATAAATGAATAGCTTCCATTGATCTGTTTTGATGAATCAAGACTAAGTTGAAGGAAAAAAACCAGAAGAAAGCAGTGGCAAACCACTTCTGTATTGTTATCAACAGTACTACATAAATATGTCCATGAAATCACCAGGAGTCTAGCTTGACTTGAGGGGCACAGTCCCTCTAAGCATACTCTAAGCATAATTGAATCTGGATCTAATTCATTGTAATTTCAAAGAAATATAAACATTGACAAAAATATGTATGTAAATATCTACAATAGTAGATTACCTGGAAGTAACTGCATAACGATTAACAATTTGAGTTTTAGATGCATACTTAATCATAGTATTCTTGCATAGGTGCCAGTAATGCTCAGAACCCACCTTCTTCTGGGCCTTCAGGCCTTCCGTCGTCTTTGCAAAGTCCACTGCCTCGGCCACATCAAATGGCTTTGCCAACAAGTCCTCCTATTTCTCCACCAAATAACTTGAATAGTCACTGCCCTCCATCTTTACCTCCTTCAATGGCCAGGCAGGAGGGGATCCCTGGTTCAAATCCATTGAACACCAACTTGCCACAGCAACTTGCAAGTGAACCCCCAGGTCCTGGGTTTTCTTCTCAGTATGGTAAGTGTGACTTCCTACAGTATGTAAGACTAGCAGGCTGCAATTTCTGTTTTGAGGATAAGCGAGGGGGTAGCATCTGATGAGAAGTGAGGGAAGCATCTAGAATTTAGAATCAATAAGGTTTAAATGCTTTCTTTTTCTGTCTGTAGATTTTCTACTGTACATGCACTGGCATAACAATCAGAGATTGTGTTTGTGTGACCTGTTAAGCTAACTCTAGACTTAACATGTTGACTAGACTGTACTATAGATCAGACTTTCGTTGATACAATCACGTTTTTTACCTGAGATGTGTTCTGATGTTGTTCCTCTTAACTTGGCCTCCTTGTATCATTGGAACCCGTTATGAGTTCTGAACACAGAGACAAAAGGCTTGGCTGGCTGCAAAATGAGACATGTTCGTTTTTTCCACCCTTCCATAGGCATGGCAGAGGAGGAACAAAAAGGGGATATATATACCCCAACTCTGATTGGACTACCACAGAATGTGTAGACCTGTTTAAATTGGGTCTATGAAATGGATGTGTTATCTGCTAATGATTTCTGCTGTCTTTGGTTGCCACCATATACATGCATTATCAGCTACTGTATTTGGGTTTTTAAGCCTATGTGAGCCACCTAGAGTCGCTTTTGCAAGATGGGCCACATATAAATTGGTTAAAATAATAATTAAAAAAAAATCTTACAGTGAAAATAATTGTTAAGGAGATGTCAGCTAGCCAATTACCAGAAGATTCCTGGCCAGACACTAAAAATGGCCTTTGTTTGCTGGATCATCTGAATCAGATACTCATACGATGAATAACTTACCGATAAGTAGCATAAGACCAGCTATGGCATGTTCAGCAAACATGTCTATACACTCACCAGCACACAGAGGAGGAGGCAGGAGAGAAAACAACTTTGAAACAGAAAATTGAATAGCCAACTAAGCTATCTCACCTGTTCTTCCCCTGTTTGGAAAACAGCTACTCCTAAACATTTTTTAAAGAAAAGTATAGAAAAGAAATGTTGGAAAGCATTTAATTTTACATGACTTAAGCTAGTTTCTCCTTTCTTTTTTGCCATTTCCCATGGAATGTTCCCAGGAGATCTTTATTTATAGACATCTCTCTTTCTCCTTCCCCATCATGTAAGAGGGTAAATAGCTACATCTTGATTGGAGCATAGATTTTAAACAGAGAATAAGCACTAGCTTCTTCAGTTAAAAAAATGTCCTTTAGTAAAAATCAAAACAGGTAAAAAACATAGGTTATAAAATAGAGTTCCAGACATCTTATAGGTCAAGTATTAAGCAAAGGGGAAAAAAACCTTAATTGGGGAGTTTATTATATTTTCTCTTTTGTTATTTTTTGCAGGAAATTATGGTCCTCCAATGGCAGGGGCACAGCTGTCTTATCCAAGTGGCCTTCCCTCTGGTCCAGCTCAGTTAGCTGGACCACAGCAGAGGAAACTTGATCCAGATTCCATTCCAAGCCCAGTGAGTAAGGATTTCATCCTTTCTGCTCCCTGGGATGGGGCATGCCAGGTGTTCCATGGCCCAAATATTATGAGCCTCGAATTCTCAATTAAAGTACTTAGAGTTAAAAACAAAACAGGATTTTTATTCCATATTATTTTGAGTGTTCCACACAACAAGCTCTTCTTTCCTTGTTTTTCATCCTAGGGCAATAAGTGTAATTTGAGCACTGATAGTTACCAACCCACCAACTATAGATAAAAAGGCAGAGGGATGGATTTAATAGATAAATAATAATTCAAACAACTATAGTTAATATGGAGGGTTGCTCAATTTCTCTGGAAGTTGGCTGGTATCATACTTCCCACTTACTTTCAGGACCTTCGAATGAAAAACAAGGCAATAGGCCTTGTTACAACTTTCCTTTGCTTCTAAGATAAGACATTTAAAATAGTCAGGTTTTGTGCTATTGGTACACTCCCACTCATTTAAAATGTTCAGATGGAATGTTTTGAATTGGGCAGTTTTGTTCCAGGCTCAGAGGAACTTTTTTTTTATTTATTTCATCCTAAACCTGAAAATGTAATTCCTATTATCCTATTTTAAAAAGGATCCAGACTTTCCTCTTTTAGCTTGTGTTAAATTGTTTGTGTGACCTTTAAATGCTCCTTTTATTTTGTTATTGTAATTTTGTGATTATCTGCAGAAAGGTGGGATAGAAAGAATAAAAATAAATAATGAAATAAATCCCTAACATTGTCCATACTTTGTCGGGCTGAGAAAAGTCAACAAAAACTTCTCTTGAATATATGGTTGAAACATTAGTATCATGGGTGGAGGACAGTAGGGAGGTATAAGCAATTATAATGCTTAAAGATATGTTTGAAGTATAAGGTTCTTCAGTTTTTAGGTGATATTCTAAGATTTCTTCCAAGCAGCAGCAAAAACTTTTGCTTTCTTAATCTATAAATCCTGTCTTGATATTCGAACTGTGGTAAGATGTCTGTAACCTTTTTTTTTAAATTAAAGCCTGCCTTCAATGCTTACAATGTTTATTTATTTTTATCCATAAGATTCAAGTAATTGAAAATGATAAAGTTTCCAGAGGAGGTCAGATCTATGCTACCAATATCAGAGGTCAAGTCCCTCCTCTTGTTACAACAGATTGTGTGATCCAAGATCAAGGTAAACAGACAGCATCAGTGAACTTGAATTATGAGTTTTATTGATTGGGATATTCATATTTAATTTCTCTAATGTTTGTTAAATTGATCTACAGCATTCATTAGTCAACTTCTATTTGTCAAAGTGACAGGAGAACAATGTGTTAAAGTGTGTTATTGGTGAACTCATGGAATTCTGTCTTAATGTAACTTCTTCTGGAAATAACTTGTGTAGCTGTATAGAACCTTGATTAAAGCTAAGCTTTTGTGGGAGAAAAAAATTTTTTTTTACATTCCTGTAGGGATTTGATGTTTTTGCAACTAATTCCAAACTTCTCTGTACATAACTTAATTTTTTTGTTGGTTGTTTCTATCTGTGGAAGGAAGTCTTGGGCAATTCTTTATCCCTATGAGTTCTCAAATCTTCTCTGTAGAGTTGAGAAACTTCCATAGCTGATTGGGAGATGTTTAGCAGGTTTGGAAAGGAGGAGAAGCCACACTGAAGAAATGAATTTTCACTTGTGTAGTTCTGAGTTTTACCCTATTAGAATTCTTTTGTAGAAGAGCACTAGAGATTTGATTGAGACGAGCAGAACCTAACTGCACCTATCTTTAAGTTGAACCTAGTCAAAAGGTATTTATTTTGCATTCTGTGTGCAAGATGGAAAGGCCAAGATAGCAATTCAGAAGCCAGGATTATACTCACAAAAGCATGTTTTAAAATTTCACAGGTTTCTAGGCTGAGACAACTGAACATTGCCTTTACTCTGATGTAGTTTCAAGGCAGAAGCAAATGATGCCCTTTCTTTGGTAGGAAGCAAAGCAGAATGAGGGCAATGCTTCCTGTTCTCATTGGGGAAACTTTTTAAATTGGCTATTTTAAAAAACCCTCCTAGGTCACAAAGTATGTGCTGATGAAAAAGGTGGTCATGTGAGCAATCTTCCTATTCCAAAGCCTCCAAACCAAAGGATTATGTGAAGGAATATTCTCATAACTACGATTTTAAGGTCAAAATGTGTTTGCTTTTATTTATCGTCTGTCACTATTTTGAATTATTCAGGTAATGCCAGTCCACGTTACATTCGATGTACCTCTTACTGCTTTCCTTCATCTTCTGACCTAGCAAAACAGGCTCAGATTCCATTAGCTGCTATCATCAAACCTTTTGCTGATATTCCAGCAAATGAGGTAAGAGAGAAAACTGACAAAGAAAATACGTTTGTAAATTAAGATGTTTAGTGTTTCTTCATGTAGGGAATAGACATCTATTGATAGCAAAGCAGAATATAATGTGTTATGTGGATGAATCAATAAAATCAGCTATCAGCCCCAGTGATGGCTCAATTGTCAAGGAGCATCTGCAGGAGGCTGTGAAATTCTCATGAATTCTCCTATTATTACTGTGAATCTAGCTCACTGTTCAGGATTTCAGCCTACTTCCCATGTGAATAGAGCCCTTTGATGTAAAGCCTTACATCTGTGACCTTTATTTTATAAACTTTATGTATATTTCATAAACTGGACAAAGCCAAGAGCTATCTTTCTGGTTAAATTACTAAGGCAAAGGCTTGAACATCTATAAAAGTTACTTTTCTATGCATAGCTCTTGGTTCTTTTGTATAATCTGGTCGACTTAGCATGTACAGTGTGGAACTGTTTTACAAGCCGTTAAGTTTTTATTGAGCTCATTAATGTTCAGCATGAATCTTACATATGTGAAATACTACAATACATTTATCATTTGCATGAAATCCTATATTTTTAGAATGGTATGGGAATTCTATATCTTTACTCCAAGTAATTAATTTTTAAGATATTGGATAATGCATAGGTATTTAGGTAGCTACAGATGTTCATACAGATTTCTGATGCACATTCATTCATTCATTCATTCATTCATTCAATTTGTATGGCTGCCCATCTCACCTAAGTGACTTTGTGTGGCTCACAGCAGTTAAAAACAACAACCAAATAAAAAACAAAACAGATATACAACATGTAAACATCATAAATAACCACATTGTACAAAAATAACCATGATCAGTGGTAAAATCCATCATTGTATCACACTCAACATTGTAAAAACTGTAAACTGTAAATTGCCAGACCCCTAGACACAGCGGCAGAGCCATGTCTTCAGGGCCTTCCTAAAGGCCAGGAGGGTTGAGGCCAATCTAACATCCAAGGGGATGATGTTCCACAGGGATGATGTTCTGCACCATGGCAGAAGAGGCTCTCTTCCTGGGTCCTGCCAGATGACACTCTTTCATAGAGAAGACCCAAAACATGCTTCTTCTGCTGGTCCTGATGAGATGGGTGGATGTAACTGGGGAGAGCAATCCCTCAGATAACCCAGTCCCATGCCATATAAGGCTTTATAGCTCATTACCAGCACCTTGAATTGAACCCAGAAGCATACTGGCAGCCTATGCAGCTCACGGAGCAGAAGTGTAACATGCGCTGATGGAGTACACATAACTGCCCACACTGCTGCATTTGTGCTAGCTTCAGCTTCTATATGCTCTTAAAGGGCAGCCCCATGTAGAGCACATTACAGAAATCCATTCAAGAGGTGACCAGGGCATGAGTGACTGTGAGCAGTGTCTCCCAGTCCAAGAATGGGCACAAATGGCACACAATAGTTGTGCAAAAGCCCTCCTGGCCACAGCTGCTACCTGCTCTTTGAGCAGGAGTTGTGAGTCCAGGAGAACTCCTAGATTGCATATGCTGTTCTGTTCATTTCAGTGGAGATAATTATGACTTTTTGCCAGAGATCCTTCATATTCACATGCTTGTGAGTTTAGGCATATGCATGCATAATCCACAATGTGGTCCAAATAATCATTTTGCAGATGTGTGAAATGAATAGTAAAGGTTTATGCATTGTGGGATTATTTTTGGAAGTAGTTATTGCAGTTTGGGAGCATGTAAACTCATTAAAAACTCACAAGTGTTGAGGAACACTTAACAAATCCTCACATTCAGAGGTGATGGGACAGGAATAGTTTACTGAAATATTAATTATCAGTTTACACAGAGATCAGTGAATAGAGATCATGCCCTTTCTCTCACATGTGGGCTTACAAACTAATGGTAAATATTTGAGCATAGGTTGGGGTAGGGAAGCTAAACAGAAAGGAAATCATTTTTACCAAAATGGAGGACAAGAGGTTATGGCAAACATCAGGGGCTGCTGAAGATAAAGATAGATAACTATTTAGTTTCAAAAAATGTTGGTAAATACTTTGTCCCCAGGAAACCTGATCCATGACAGTGCTTGTTTTCATCAAAGGATATAAAAGCCTAGGGTACTGCTGAGGCTCTTATAAGGAAGTTTGTGAAGAAAAAAATCAGGAATTAATTGGTTCTGGGCATTTTGGACAATATTTTGTTCCACAAGTTACTGATGCAGATGTCTTCAGCCTTTGGAGGGGCTATGCAGATAATAATGAATTTCATCAACAGCCAGGTTCAAGACAAGAGAACCTTAATGGGACAGCTCCACCCACAGTAAGGTCATCCAAATGAACCTACTGAAGAGATACAGATAGAAAACCAAAGTAGAAAAAAAAATTTGGTACCAATATAGTAAAGGCCTTAAGGTCTATTTGCTGTGAAAAGGACAGGTATAGAGGGTAAAATGTCCTCCTAAAGGAGTGCTGAATGCCATAAAAGTAAGACAATGGGTCACATTGCAAATGTTTGTCTTATCTGAGAAATTAAATAAATTGAAACATATTGTGAAATAATGAATATTTTTATGTGGACCAATTGTATTCTGTAATAATAGGAGATGTCTTAGAAAATTAATGGTCATTCAATGTACTTTAATGATTTCAGAATCTCTGTACAAGAACTGTCAGAGCCTGTTTCATTTCCAGCAGATTATTTCACCCTTTGCAGTGAGATTTACACTTCCTAGAATACTTTATAACCAGCACACAGTATAGAAATACAGAATATGAGCTTAAATATATGTATTCTACAGAGTTTCTTTCAGTAAAGATAATGCTATTCTCGGTGCAGTCCATGCAGCCAGAATGATATCAGTCCTACTATTCCCCAAGGTAAAAGCAGAATTAGAGAGGATAGTTCTCAATTAACAAAACTGAAAAATCAGAAGTACATCCATTCTACTGTAGATGACATTTTCCTGTGAGTTAAAGGTGCTTAATTGTTCTCACTGTTAAAGCCACCAGTGGATTTGGAATACCCAGTTAGACCCAAATTGCATTTAATTGACTACAGGTAGTCCTTACTTATCAACCACAATTTGGACCAGCAACTTGGACCAGCAAAAGTGATGCAGTTGTTAAGAGAGACATCATGTGACCATGATGGACTTACAACCTCACTTCTTCTGCGGTTGTTAAGCAAATCACTTGCACTTTAAATGAGGCATCACGTGACCACAACTTGTGATTTTAGTACTGGCTTCTCCATTGACTCTGCTTGTCAGAAGCCAGCTGTGAAGTGCACAAAAGGCAATCACATGACTGTGGGACACTGTGATGGTTGTAAGTGCGAGGACTGATTGTAAAGTTACTTTTTCAGTGGCTTTGTAACTTTGAATAGTCACTAAACAGGGCGTTGTTAAGTGAGGACTACCTGTATGTATGTTATACCATTTGGTAGGCTTTTCTTTTACCTTTCAGGATTTCTAGCACTCAGAAGTTGTTTGAAAGGGAATTATCTGAACTTTTACAATCTCTGAAGGTGTTGATGTTATGGCCTTGCTAAGGATAACTGTAAACTAACTAAACCATAAAGCGACCACAAAGGCCAAAAGTCTAAACTGATGCAAATGCCTCTTTCACTTCCAAGAGAACAGATATTTTGGGATCCCATAAATGGATGTGGAATGAGTCCAGATCCAGTCACAGTGTAGATTATTTTTGAAATTAACTTTCCCAAAATCTGTAGTTGAGCAAAGAGACTTTTGGGGCATGGAGTAGCACAAACCTTGGAAGATTTATACTACAAACTGACAGCAGTCTTGTGTCCTTTAAAATAGATATCTCTTCAAAGAAGAGGTTTTCAGGATTATCAAACCACTTAACTGAAATCCTGCTGCTGGCATTTAGTAATGTCAGTGATGTACTACTGTGAGTGCTGATGCTAGCAAGTATAAAGAAGGCAGAGTTTTGTTTCAGGATCATGAAGGGATGTTGATGCTAATAGCTCACATTTCCAAAATAGTCATAGATCCAGATATACAATATGCCCAAACTCTGAGAGAGTATATTGCAGCATGTGAACAATTCTCAAAGTATCTTAATGGACTGGAATAGTATACACAATATACAGACCACACTTTCCAGGTAACATTGCACATGTTTGGACTCTGTAGCAATAAAATGCCAGAGACTTACATAGATGATGCAAAATAACCCTCATAATGAATATCATCCAGGCAAAACATTCAACCTTAGAATAGTAATTTTTAGATTGGCATCTGGTGGTCCTCAGAATCCACCAGATGTTAGAACTGTAGCCTCCCTACATTCATTGCTCAGAGCCTGCTCGTCATCTTAGCTGTTCCTCTTCACATTCACCACCAATCAGCTGGCCAGATCAGAGCTTACCTGTTTATCCAGTGCCTGCCACAATTGTTAAATAAATTTTTTTGCTACAGAATTTCATTTAAAAAGGCCTTTCAAAATGAAAGGGTATGGAAAGGCATGCACAAATGCAACTGTAATAATTTATTATAGTTATGTTATTTGCCACAAGAAAAAACAAACAAGAACTTTAATGATCTTAAAGATGAAAATGTAGGAAGGAGCTATGGGTTCAACTGGATAGCCCTGCATTTCCCTAAAGCTTTATTTAGTAGTCTATGATTGCTGAAAGTTTGAAATACACTGCTGTAGAAGAAATGGAAAGGTACTGAGCATAAGAAATATTGTAGGCTTCAGCTTGTTTCTGATAGATTTATTCAGTGTGTACACACATTATTGCTTCTTATCCAGGAACAACAATATTCAACTTTATACAAAATAGTTGGCTGCCACATACATACATCTTGCCTACCACACTCAATCTGTTACGGTTTCTTTGCAGAGAGAAGATTTATGGTATCACAGGGACTAACTCTCTATGGTAACAGAGTTGTTATTCCAGCTGAGATGCAACCAGAAGTACTGGAAAAAAGGCCATTTAGGCAGCTCCAAATGCACAGAATGGGC